TCGTCATGTTTGGGTTAGTATGGTTAACGGTTTTCAAGTGATTATATGATATTGGGAAGGGATAATGATGTATGGTGATTAAGGGGTGTACAATTTACGAGTAGTTTACTATTACTAATTACCTTTGACAATTAAGTCGAATATAATTCGAACACGTATAGAACCGAGTTCTGACGTTAAACGTTTTCCAGCCATTCAGATTAGAGATTAACGTACACTCTGTAATAAATAAAATCTAAATATCCAAGACATATATGTTCAGTTATCTTAGTCCAAAGATCTAGCATCCTAAAGTAATAACTAAGTGTTTTCAGAATGTAAGTCTCCCCAGATGAGTAAATCCGAACATAAAAAGGGGATGCCCTTATTAATTGCCCAGAAAGGGCCCCTGATAGAAATTTTATCTAATTACGTGTGCCCTCGAAGGGCGTGGGCGTTGAAACTGTGCCGCTGGCGCTTTTTGCCCTTGATTTGGGGTCGCTGAGGATAAAAGCGTGCGAAATCTCTACTACAAATGCACATGATGTAAACTGTTGAGCAGGTATTGAATTAAGTCGGTTTTGTTTCTTTTCTGTTTGTTTTCTGTTTCTGTTTTCTGAATATTATGGTGTCCTTTCGAACCTAGAATATGTAGTTAAAATAATGTCTCTTCCCGATGAAACACCTTTCATAAGGCCTGGGTGGATATTCGATCTTTTATCCGAGATTGCCTTTATACAGCAGAATTTACAACAATTTTATGCTTACTACACTATTACTAAGAGATAAAACTCTAGCTCATTTCTTTTTCGGAAATCGTCTTCTATCGATCCAAAAGCCGCCCGATTCTCTTATTACATCTTGTTCCAGTTATAATTTTATAAATTATTTTAATATTAATCATCCTTAACGGGATTTTTTGCCCTTTCTTTCTACCCCTTAGTTTAGAACAACTTGTAAGCACTCCGTTTTGCGATATATACAATAACTCTCAAATGTTGACAGAAACTCTCAAATGTTGACATGTTTTTGTTGAAGCTTTTCTAATTTTTATTATATTTTAGTCTACTTTAAATTATATTTTTGACGATTATCGGAAGTTCGATAGAAAAAGTTTTGTTGAGCTAAATCGGATGATCTGGCAGGGCATTTTTTGGAATTTCGAAAATCCTGTGTAACCAATTCCCTAAGTGAATCAAGCAAGCATCATCCAGTAAAAATGTAATTCATTCCGATCGAAATTCTTCTCTTTATCAGACGATTGAAAGCATGTGATGCAACGATTTGAGGCGTAGCGTTTTAATTCGACTGCCATTAAAAACGAAAATTCCACGGCCTTGATAATAAGGTGTAACTCATTAGTTCGCTTCATATAAGATTTTTCAAAGCAGTAGCTTCAAGCGACAAGTCTGAAGCATATTTAGTCACTTTTGATTCGAACTATTCTCTTGCCGGAATGTCCGTCGATATTACTTTTGTGCTATGTATAAAAAAACGTGAAGTCTTCGTGAGAATGAGGGAGAAGCTAATTGAACTCAGCACCCTGCATCATGGTGCAAAATTTATAATTATTGATGTATGACGCGCCGTCCAGTTTAAAAATATTCGATTAGGTTGGAAGGAAATCTAAGTTAGTTTGGAAATATTAGCCTAAAATAAAACTGCAAAATGCTTTTTAAGATGACGGTTGAAGTTTTTGGTGAGGTTTTAGTCGATAAGAAGTTAGTTAGAGAGTACGAGGACGATATTTAAAAAATAGAAACACTTAAAACCACTTTAAAGATTCACAGGTAGCATCTTTAAGTAATTTTTAGTTAGACCAATTAAGATCAACATGCTATAGGAAGTTCGTTATGTTGTTAAGTGTAGTAAACTTTTGTATCGTTGATGAGGGGTTTACAGTTATTTTTATTTTTCGTTCGTTTGCATTGTGAGAAACTATCGAAGAACATGGAAAATTGGGGTTTTAACTTTTACCTTGGCGCACTTACTTATAAAGCAACTATATATCAACAGTACACCATATCAATAGTACAACAGAATCCTTGAATCAAGCCTCACAGGCCATACATTTTTCCATGCCCTATAAAGTGGTGTTTGCACTCCACAGCGCGAATTTGCTAAACGCTTAAGGGCAACTGGATCATGAAGAACATGTAAGCGATTCCATTTCTTTCGATTGTGGATTGTGTACTTGGATTGAAAAATTAACCATCCGAACTGTTCGTTATGCCTGTGCAAGAATAAATATTTGGGAATATATGAATAATAGCTTGTTATTAGGATTGAGAACAGTAAGTTTCTATTTTTTTTACGAATGTTGATCACTATACATGTTTGAATTGCCAGTTGCGCGTATTCGATTGAAACAACGTTTGTAAATCTGTAAATGCGACAACTTTCCTGGAAATGTTATTTTTGATGCAACTTTTTTATCGTAATTTCTTTTATCAGATTTCTTCACAATTTTGTAGTAAATTCCTTTCACTGAAATATGATTACTGCAGACTTTGGTTTTTTATATTCCTAAAGTTTTCATTTAATGACGCAAACAATATTTTTGAAAAGTTCTTAGAAGTTTTGAGTACAAGATTCAAAAAATTTGTTACACCTTGTTGTCCCCAAATGTTTCGTTATATTTTGTAAAAAAGTTACAGTTAAATTAGAAGTGCAGTTCTACGTTAGAGTTCGAACGTCACGTGGATCTCGAAACTCAGCTTTTTGCTCGGCTAGGACGCCTTACGCCTACATCACAAAATTTATGTTTTTAGGATTTTTGAAACTTTTCTTAAATTGTGACCAAAAATCTAAAGCTCCTCAAGGTGTTCCTTGGAACATTTGCCAAAACCTGAATCAGAATCTCCAATTTTTAAAACAGTCTATCATATATCTGGATAATTTTTTTAAAATAAAAACGAAATTTTCGGAAAACCGTCAGATTCAGAAATGCCGCTTGTATTTAAATCGGAGATACGGAGTTAGTCACACGAATAGAAAGACTATCATATTTTGCCAATTATGGGAAAACGCTAAATTTGGTATAGGTATGAAAATTGTGACCATTGCGAGAAGCTTAATTTTTAGAGCTTTAAATCAAAAAATATTTTCTGGCAAACACCTTTTTATAGGTAGGTACTTTAAATCTCCAATTTGCAATAAAAGTAGATTTTTTCTGGTGGAACTCTGTTTCGAAAACGGGTTCATTCGGGAACCAAGTGCAGAAAAGAGACATGCAAAAGTTTAATCTTCATTTTTCTTCATTGAACATTTCAAATCGATCGCAAGCTAAATATATTATCTGTTGCTTTAAAAGTAGTTTCTGATTCACGAGGATCTATTAGACATCAACTCAAGAAAAATATATAAGATCAGAAGAACCAACATATTGTATTGACATAATACATATAGTCGAGACTTCTTGGCCGTTTATGACGTGAATGAAAGTCTGGAAACTTTAAAAAGTTCCGCAGTTTTGTTCGTTATTCAAGTATCAAGCTTTGAGTCTACAGCTGAGGATTCTTGTAATCATGCACAAACAATTTTCAAACCAAATAAATGGATTTCTAAATTAAATTTAGAAAATGTTATAGTAAATAGTTAATCTGTTAAATAGTTTAATTCATATATTTTTGTTACAGCACTCGGAGCAAGCATGTATTGAAAAGCTCATTGGCCGATTTCTAGAAAATTCTTCTGGTACTGGGTGAAATCCGCCTAAGCCACATGAAAAGTAAGTATCTACCTTCCTGTTTCAAACAGTTAATGTTTTGATATCTGAAAAAGCACCAATACCTACAATGCAATGCCTTAAAGTGGCTGAAAGCATGGCAAAAAACAACATATTTCGTATATAAAGAGTGAAACCACGATTTCATTTTAATGTTGGCTTTAGCTTCAGATGCAGGCAAACCTAGATTTGATGAATCAGAAATCGTCTACATTTTAGCGATCTTTTGAATTAGACATTCCCATGCAGCAACTCAGCAAATCCGGGCTGAGTATCTTCAGAAAATTGTCCGCAATTGCGTGTTTCGGAAAATTGTCCTTTCGTGACTTTGCGCAATTGCCTCATATAATCTTAGAGATATGGTACCAATAAATCGCCCTGTATAGTTAGAAAATGTTTGCTGTGGAATCATTATAAAATCTTTTAAAAACAGATTATTTCCGTTTTGAAACAGTGCTGAAGCGCCCTTCCAAGCTCAAAACATTTGTATATAAGTGGCTGGTTATATATTGTGCTTATAGACCCGCAGTTGCCACTTATATAAGTAACTTGGTTATGTATTGTAGCGTAGGGCATCAGAGGGCAAGAGAGAGAGAGATATAACGTTCTTTTGGTGCCCACTATGTTCCCGACATGTTCATAGGCGTATTTAAACAATTTAAAAAGACTTTTTTTCCACGAAATTGTCAAATCAAAGCAGATCTTAATTTTATTAGAAAAATCGGACTGTAGGCATGTAAGAAAATTATGTGAATAAATTCAGTTTAAAGTTAAATCACTGGACGAAAATAACTTCGGTTTGGGATAAGTAGTAGGAATTATTGTCTACGTATCTGCCTGGGTTTCTATGCATTTACAAAAAAAGTATGCGTACAAATGCGCGCACGTAAAAACGCGAGCAAATAAAAAAACAGTGGGACGCCTATGGCCAGGCTAAAGTAATCAACTAAACAACAACACAAGCAATGATTACAAAGAGCCCCTTGTGATAGCGATCGATGATTGGCGTCTTAATAGTTTTGGTACTCGGATGGAAACTAACATGCCATCCTCATTAGGGCTTTAACCAATTTCCGAAAAACCTCTGAAGAAAAAATCCAGCTGCAATAATGTAGAATTTTAACAGTGTGTACTGGAGTCTCGTTATCCCACAAAAGCTGGCAGAATACGAACCGGCGGTAGCACGGTTTATATACCTGCTATACATAAGGGGAAAATAAATATATAAGCGGCCTATGTGCTCTCTCCCTCTCTGTCACACAGCTGTGAACAAAACGCATCAGTCTGTCGAGTGAGAGCGCCGTGAGCTTCTGAAAACCGTTTCTTCTCCGCTAAAAAGTCCGCTTTTTCAGTTAAAGACACGAAAACTTTATTGGAAACGGGTGGTTCAAGTGAAAAGTGCTCATTTCCAATCGTTATTTACGATTCGCAGTGAATAACATCGCGTATACCAGGAGAAAACCGGCAAAATATGCACGTTTAGAGGTTATGTTTGACAATAAGGTCCTTTATCGCACACAGCACAAGCCAGCGACTGTTTACTGTTAGTTGTTTTGTTTTTTAATTTTGTTTATACATTAAGTGGAATTTTTAGGAACTGAATTATTTAAGAGTTTTCAGATATTTTGAAAGTTATTAAGTATCTAGGTCATTGTTTGCAATATTTATTGCAATTTGCGTTGAAACTTCCCACCGTCCTGGCTTTTATGCAATGCGAGAACTTGAGTGTTTGTGTTAAACAGTGTTTGTGAATTGAATATGCCTAATCTGGATTATATGGATTAAAGAAGCGTTTTAACTCCTACACAACTGGTAACTATACTTCCTTATATTTGCTTTATTTCTAATCTAGAGCTTTTGAATGCATTTCTATTGGAGTAGACTGATTTTATGTGCCATTAGTGATCTCTAGGTAGTTCTTTAAATTGGTTTTCATTAAAACATTGCATGTTTGCTAGAAAATGGTAAAAGGAACGTTTCATGTTCAATATACGTTGGTTTCCCGCTTCTCTTCATACAATTTAAACTTTAACGCAACTTTTTGCATCGTAATCGACATATCAAAGTTTAGAAGATGGGATGTCAATTAAAAGTGACCATCAGTAGTATTTTGTTATTATTCGCATTGTACGTTTTTAAACCGCGCGTCGGTACTATAAAGTTGCTATTATACTTCAAATATCATACAAATACTACATAAAACATCTACATGTCCGAGATGGCAGTTATTTTGGCAGAAAAACGTTTTGTGCATCCAATTGGTTAATTATCTAGGGGTAATTGCAATGATAGCTGTAGAAACTGTTTGATTTTTCAACAGAATTATCTATGAATAGACAGAAGCCTACAGGACGTACATTTTGAAAATGTTTTTTAATATACAGGACGACCCAGCTACTCGATTTTATTCAAATTACGCGTGGCACACATAGGTACTTAGTTGAATTCTAGCACACCACTCACATACTTTCGAAACTCATCTCAAATCCAACTCCAAAACAACAAGAAACAATTTTAATTAGTTATGTTCTCATAAGTGGCTTATTTTATTTCGGCTTCATAAGGGCCGTCCAGCATTTATTTACACTTGTTTAGCGTTGGTAGTAAACAGCACGTTTTTAACATATAAGTATTTTCAAAATGAGTGATCAGAAGAATTTTTATGTGGGGTTTCAAGAACATTTTGTTGAAAGAAGCATCATTCTGTAGTGCATACAATCGATGCAGTATCGATCTCCAAAAAGAAGCAAACTTGAGTGGAAGTGGCAAATTAATTCAATAATTCACCAATCACGCATTGAATTCGAAACTATATAAGTATCTACTTGCCTACAATAAAGTAAAAAAGCCAGGGTTTAGAGCTTATAGCCGAAATACGTAGGTATACAGGGTGGCTCACCATTGATGTTACTTAGATGTATACGGATTGGTATTGTTCCGAAGCTTTGGATACCTCTATAATGGCTCGCGATCTAGCTTTGCTATTCCAAATGAGACACCCTGTAAACAATACTGCTTTTGAATTCGCAATTACTACCCTGAAGTTTTTCTTCAATACTTTCTTATACTCATCTCTAATCGTTTTGGAGTATTAATGTAATTAATTATTTTCAAATGTTTTTGTTGAGATGTAATTCTAATTTAGTGTTTAAGTATAACTGCGATACTTATCTGTATTCGTAGAAACTTCAAATTGGGTTGTACTTAGTAACAATAGCACCATGTTTGTATTTTTTGCATTAGCCAGGGTCGCGTAAAATTAGTGGTGAAAGGTGGAAGGTGGAAGGAAAGGAATTAGTGGTGAATTAAGATACTTTATTAATCGATTAACCTAAACGGCAATCAGAATCTCTTTCAAATGATAAGTACATACTTAGATCATGTTCCTATTCCTGAAAAGTAAAGTTGCGAATAAAGTAAGGGAGTTTCTATAAAAATCGACTTTTTTACAGATGCAGTAAGTAATAATTCTTTACAATCAACCGTACGAGAATCATTGTTTGGGCATTTCTTAACAATTTAGTCGAAATTATTCTAATGGAAAAAAACCTACTATAGAAATGAAGTTTTGAGGAAGTTTTCTATTCTACATATTGCAATTACATAGCATAGATGTAACATTAGAGATCAAAAGCCTATTACAAAAAGGTTTAAGATGTTTGTAATAAATGCGCTCAAAATGACCACCGTTTACTCCCAACCATTTTGATTCGCATATAGAGGTTCAGTTGTAGCCTTATTTGATGATTTTGTCGCGATATATTGGCGTATTCGTGCACTATGGTATACTTTTATTTTTCAAATTACCCCACAAGTATAAACCTAGTGGCGTGAGATCGGGTGATCTGCCGGTCAATCCTAAAGACCCAAACGTCTTATCCATCGATTGTCCAACATTTGAATATAAACTGTGCTGTTACTGCACCAGTGCAATAGATGCCAACAAGTGGGATAGTCTTCTAACTATAAAATGTCCAAAAACTCGCCTTAGAATTTGAATAGCTGACCTTAGAATTTGAAGATATATTTCTGAATTTACCTATTCCTCCTGTTGCAAATTCCTACCCTCGAGAATTTATCGTCATCCTTCATCCAAATTATTTTCGTTAGAAAGTTAGGCTCTTCTGGGATCCAGATCAAACTTCTTTCACAAAATTGTACTCGACGTTGGAAATCTTCCGGTTTTAAGGCTTGAATTTTAATGTACTTTATGGGTGCATCACCAAGGATTCTTTGAAGAGGGGCACGATTTATGCCAAAATCAACGTCCACACTTGGAGTAGAAGCTTGAAGAAATGCGCAAAATTAGGCTAAAACATTTATCACGTTGTCTTCATTAAACGTTACAATAATGGGAAAATGTCATTGAGATTTCAGTTTTGACCCATAATAAATGAATATAAACACGTTTGTAAGCGTACAAACTTTTTCCCATTGGTTGGCTGTTGATCGGAAAACATTTAATAGAACTTTCTACATGTTCCTGCTGTAATTTGGTTACATTCTCCATGGAGATCAAAAAATTTCATGAAAACCTCATTTCTATAGTTATTTATTTCAATTTCGTATTAAATTTTTTGACCAACTTTGCTACGTGATACTCGAAAATTTTAGTTATCATCTCACATATTGTCATGTTGGATTTTGATATTTCATCGCTATGTACGATAAACCAATCATTTTACGCGACTTTGTATAATGCAGAGGATACTTCTCCATACAAAACTAATACACAGTAGTTTGGTATTCTACACCCAAAATGTGAAGTTTTTACGAATGCAGATGTCGCAGTTATAAACGTTAAATTAAAACTAAGTTTTGAACGAAAAAGTTGGAAAATAATGAATTACTTGAAAAAGGTTTGAGATGAGTATAGGCCATTTGGAGAAAACTTTGGGAAAGCAATTGCAAATCTATAAACAGTATTATATACAGGGTGTCTCATTTGATAAGCAAAGTTTGTGGGACTTTTCGGTATAAACTGTATTGCTGAAAATATTTGAGTATAAAGTTACCAAATTTTCAAATCAAGTTATTATAAACCCTGAACTTGAAGGAAATTGTATTTGTTCTTGGCGACAACGAGTTGCGCTTCTGGCTGTCGGACTTTTGGGCGGTATATAACGGGTAAACTGGCGCTTTTCAATTTCAATACCTGGCAACACTGTTTACCACTCTAGTCGTAAAAATGCCGTGGATACCAAGGGAAGAATGGAGACAGCCTGGGCAGTTCAGTTCAACTTCGTTTGTATTTAAAATTTTGTTAACTAGGTATATTGTTTTGTATATTAAGTAGTGTGTGGCTTTATTGTAATTGTCTATGAACTAATTAATTTATATTAATGAACAAATTCTTCTTTAACTGCTTAAGTGAAAAAATGGTACCCACTAGTGTGCCATGTGGGAAATGCAGCTGTAACAGTTCTAACCTTGGTGGTGTAAAGTAAATAATTCCCTTGCCACCGTTCTATCATTATTTAACTCCCACCATAAAATGCAGGTATATATGCGATACGGAAGATGCGGAGCAACGATGCGACCCATCGAACTACAGTTTGATGAATGACTAGTTTGGTCGATACAGGGTGATTCAAATTCGCGTCATTCCTCTGGGAGTGTTTAGAAAGTACAGGAAAATTAGTAAACTTTTTTTGTAATAACAACAATGTTTTTCGAGGTAATCTGCCCCATTAACTATACGTAAATCCGTGTTCCTGCTTAAATATCAAAAGCTCAAGTAACCATAGATGAACACAGAAAGTGAAAGTGACAATGAAAGGTTAGATTAACCGGTTCAACGCATGTCAACAAATGCATCCTATAAAAGGTTATGGCTAATGATCTATTTACAATTAACATTTTGAAATGTGAACCTCACAGGAAGAAAAATTTGGAGAAACGTAATTTTTCCAAACAGACATTTGAATTATATTTAAGCAACTTACGAATGTTTTGATACTCACGTTTTTAAAGGAACCACGCCTATTTTATACCTTCGATATGCGTTTTGGATTCGTTGCAAAGTGGGCAATCTTAGATACGTAATTGTTATTTGACACGGTCCTTTTAATGTTATTCACTGTCATGCATTATCGAATCGATCAGATAACAATGAGATGAGCCACATTCGTAACTGTTACATGGGACGTAAGGATCTCATTTTCGCTGACTCATAAGAGCGCATTGTGTCAGATCTCTGTAGCAGCTAGTTTCGACACATTGATTTATTAGGGGAGATGCATGTGCGTTTTGAAATGGCAATAAATATTTAAAAACATCTTAGACTTTGGCTGAAATGTAAATATGATGGTCTACTAGGAATAGAGCATTCTCTCGAATAAGGTACAATATTTTTTAAATTTAAATTATTCAGCAGTACATGCATACATTTAAAACACTGCCAAGACATCAGCCAATAATTCAAATACATTAATACTCACCGGAGTAATTTAAAATCTAAGCACAACATTCACTACACCGCTAAAAATGATAATATTATCGCAAGTACCGACGAGCTTATCTTACAAACGAGAAAGAAATTAATCTGGGACTACCACAAACTTGACGATAGTTTACTGAGTGATGTGCAGTAAAGCGAAGTATAAACATCTGCGTTTATAAATTGAAAGAATCGAGGCTATAGAAGATGTTGAAGAATCAGTTATAGGATCGTTTGAGAGGATTCTCAATAGATTTGTGATCCACAATGGATGTTAACCGGTTGGTTAAGTATGACATGAACAATATCTGGCTTTGTAGTGGTTACGAGCGTCCCATTGCAAGTGTACTCTGTTTCTGTCACAAATAATATA